ACACCAGCAAATCTATAACTTTTAAGATTAGTCTTTTAGAAGTTTGAGAAAACATTGCTAACTTGGGCTCCCAAGAAAATGTTGCCGTCGAAGCAAAGTGGCTGTACTCATCATGATTGCTATTTTGAAAAGGCAAGTATTATAAATGGGTTTTGGACCATACGTAGGCCATTCTGAAAGGAATGTAAAACCTGGGTTGTCACTGAACAGCTCAACAGAGCAATTTTACTGAGGAATTCAATATTTTTATCTTCCTGCTCCACATTGTAAACGTTGAAGTGTGTAATTTCCATGAGATTAAATGTTTAGGGGGTCGCAGGAATTTTTCAACCCTCTCCAACAATAGAAAACCTTTTATTTTGTGGCTGACTTGTAAAAGTCATGTATATGGTTTGGTGTTATGTCGGGCCCGCCTATTACATATCATGGAGCCTTGTTTGTAGTGAAGTTAAACAAGCATTAGGGGCTCTGCATTTTTCACCTCTCTTTGCTGAATCTTTCTGCCCTCAAACTAGCAATTTGCAGACCGCCCCCCCCAATCAAATGTCTCAGCCTCAGACTGCTCACAACTATGAATCATCTATGTAGGTACTGGTCTCTGTATAGTGACATTGCACACGCAAGGTAAATGCACTGTGTGGTAAGAAGAGATGTTTTGGAGTAGTCATCTACCTGCAATCAGCTGACAGACTCACAGCATTGTAAGCATTTCATTTTCACAATAAACGGTATAAAGGACTTAAGATGCAGTTGGAAATTTATGGCTTCTTAAGTTCATTTTACAATTGAAAAATCTGGAAAATTTATATGTGTTTATTTTGAAAAGAAATAGGTAAACATTGGCTAATCATTTAAACTGTATTATACAAACACAATTTGCAGCACAAACACTATGTAGTTTAACCATTTGTTGTTCTGTTTTGTTGTTCACACATGAGCAGCTCATTTGCATTGTATCCCCATTTTCCTTTTACTGTGCTCATTACTTAAGTACCCCGGTTTCCTGAAACTGCAGGGGAAAGCATTTTTCCTGCAAAAAATGTCAGTCTAACATTTAGATTCAGGAAACATAAAATCCACAAAAGAAAATTGTACATTGATCTGTTTTTGGTGGTGGTGGTGGTGATTTAATTTCTCTAGTACAACTACTGCATCACCAGTTGTAAATATAGTAGTTCACTCTTGACTATCCAGTGAAATTCTTGTGATGCATTGGGCTTTAGGTCTGCAGTGAGTATGGCTCTCTGCCATTTTTTTTCTGAGGAAAAGGGCAGAGATGATGATGATGATGAGGTGGTGGAGGAGGAGGAGTGCATTTCTGCGGAGAACTCGCACATTCCACCCCTTCACTCAGCAGCTGGCAAAGAGCTCCAGCTCTGTTGCTGTCACTCTTGTGCAGAATTTATCAGATTGTAGCCGCCATTTTGCAGAGATACTTCATTACCCACACATTCTCCAGTGTTTCCAACCTTTCCTGTGTCCCTCTAGGCTCGTTGGTTTTAAGTCTTGATAGTTCTCACTCAGTATAAGTCATCCGCACAGCTGTTGTGCTCAACATTCCTCGCAGACAGTATTTGCCAATAAAAATACAGGATGTGTTGAATAAACCCACTCTGCTGTCTGCTCTTAAACAGTGTTTGGGAGTTCAGTGGTTTGTTCTGTTCCGGTGAAAGCTCCTGTGTGTATGTCTGGCCACGCAGAGATCTTCCTGTCCAAACGTAACAACACTCCAATTTCCTACCATTCACCAAATGGTGTCATTCAGAATTAGATGCTCCGTCACCAATGTTGCGGAGTCAAAGGGATTAAACGTCTGTCATGCTTAAAGAAGTGATTGCATTCCTCCCTTATTCCACTCTATGTTCAGTTGCCACAGAATGACCTTTTTTAAAAGCTGGACATCCCTCTCCTTTAAATGACATTTTCCCACACATGTTGTTGCCCAAAATGTTTTTTATTTCCCAGAGGCGCTGTTTGCTGACATCTCTCCCTCTAGGTTTCTAAAAAGAAGTGTTTGTTTTCCTCAGGCATAGGTCGAATACAGGCCAAGTCCCTTGGGAACCTCTCCAGTCTAACGGGAGAGGACCTCCCCCTTCCTGCCGGCTGGACCGTTGACTGGACCATCCGTGGCAGGAAGTACTACATTGACCACAACACTAACACTACACACTGGAGCCACCCTCTGGAGAGGGAAGGGCTCCCTCCAGGCTGGGAAAAGGTGGAGTCTGCCGAGTTTGGGGTCTACTATGTGGATCACATCAACAAGAGGGCACAGTATCGCCACCCTTGTGCTCCAAGGTATGACCTCAGTGTTAAAAGCGCAAGATTTTGTGTTCTTAAAGCTGCATTTTTTCCCCATCCACTTTTTTGTATGTCTTTTGATCCCATGCTACCAATTCCTGGAACAATGAACTCACTCAAACATTTCCAAGGTTTTATATGTTTTTTCCTCATAAACTGTTTGGCCTGGTTTATCAGCACAGTTTTTTGAGTTGTCCAAGTTGGTTTCTCAGAGATGAAAAAGGTGTAAATACTAAATAACCTGTCTGTTCCAGTGTGCCTCGCTATGATCAGCCACCACCACTGCCACCCCCTGTGACCTATCAGCCACGTCCTGCAGAGAGGAACCAGCCGGTGCTGGTGCCAGCTAACCCGTACCACACAGCTGAGATCCCAGACTGGCTGCAGGTGTACGCCCGTGCCCCTCTCAAGTGAGTACTACTACGGCAGCAACTTATAGTTATTTTCATGATCGATTAGTCTGCAAATTATTTTCTTGATTAATCGCTCGGTCTATAAAATGGTGGAAAATGCCCATTCCATTGGGATGTCATCGAATTGCTTGTTTTGTCTGACCAACTGTCCAAAAACAAATGAAAAAAATCTGTTTACGTGCACAAAATAGGAAAACCAGCAAATCTTAACAAACTAGAAACTGGACCTATGAAATATTTGGCAAATAAAATTTACTTCAGAATAATTGCAGATTCATTTTCTATTGATCTACTAAATGTTTTAGCTCTAAGTATTATGCATACAGTACATCATTGACATTTGACAACACTTAGCTGCAGATGACATAAATTGAATGAGATGTATCTAATTAACAAAGAATTCTAGACCTATTTTGTAAACAATTTTATTGTTGAAAACATCAAGATGCGGTCTTCTCCTCCTCCTATTTATTGGAATCCTTCTATCTTTTCCACCCAATACTGATGAGCATTATCGCCCTCCTGAAGTCAGTTGAAATGTGTTTAAGGCTTGTGGCATGTATTATCATCACAATACAGCTGGACCAATAATTATCCAATATTAGCTTATGGCAGACATATTGGTGTTGGTTTTTGTCATCAGATCACTTAACAAGAAATTGCAGAGATGCCAAATTAGCTTTCAGGAAATTTAGAAACAGCATTACCATTAAGCCTCAAATATACTCGGGAGCGGACGCGGACAGCTGCGGACGCAGACTACTTCTGTTTATAGACCTTTCTGCAGTCACCTTGACGGACACATTCCACACATGCGCAGCAGATTGGTTGGTCCCCTGGTAGCGCTAGTCGCCGTGCAGACCTTGCGCGGACAGGTCCACGCAGTAACAAAAATCGGGAGGCACGTGGACATCCGCACAGACCGCGGAAAGTATAATCCTTGCCTTCCATTGTCTGTCCACCAGTGACATTGACAATCTAATTTTTAACAAAAAAATATTGTATGTATCACAGAGGGGAAAACTAATCTAAGGGATCCACATCAAGACTGTTTGTTTAAGTTTAAAATATTACTATAAGCAGATACATCTTTATCTTTTTATACTCTCAAATATCAGGAGCAAATGTCAGTAATGGTCAGTTTATAGTTGGTAGAATGAGAAGTACAAATACTACGGGTCCCTGTATTATTTCGTCAAATCAGCGCCTTAGTCTACCAACACTTAACAAAGTACCTATTTAAAGTACTATAAATATCTTTCACTTCAGGTATGACCACATCTTGAAGTGGGAGTTGTTCCAGCTGGCAGACTTGGACACGTATCAGGGCATGCTGAAGCTGCTCTTCATGAAGGAGCTGGAACACATCGTCAAATCGTATGAGGCATACCGGCAGGCGCTGCTGTCAGAGGTGGAGGCTCGCAAACAGCGGCAGCAGTGGTACGCCCAGCAGACCAACAAGAACTTCATAGGGAACATGTGATGTGTATGTGCAGCAGGGGCGTCTCGCTGCCACACCTCTCTGAGGTTTCCACAGTTTGGGAGCGGTCAGGGTTTCCTTTGAAGTCATGATTGACTCTTAATTGCCTCTTTACCAAACACATCTGTGCCTTCGCTTGATCCAAATATATCAGCCAGGAAGTCAAGACCCATTGGTGGGGCCCCCTCCTGCCCCCCCCGTGTGACACTCAATTTATGAATGACCATGTGACTGGGAAAACACTCCAATAAAGAAAAATAACTTATAATGTGCTACATCTGGGGAGACTGCTTGTGGTGCCATTTACAGCCACTGCCCTGAGAACTGAATTGCTGTATGGAATTATGTTTTTAAGACTGAGAAGAACAAAGTCTGGAAAAACCACAGATATTTGTTCAAAAATATCCACAGATTGTGCCTTTTTTAATAAATTGAAACAGCATTTTTCCAATGCTTATGTTTTGTATACTACAGCTGCTTCGTCATTTTTTCCTGCGGGAGAATATGACAGGCAGCTTTTTCTAACTTGTTTCAGTTTGAAATACTTCATGACAAATTTTTTCCTTTACTCTGTTACCCTCATAAATTGAAACCACACTCTTGCATTAAACAGAAAAGTGTGCGTTTTTCTTTTTTTATGACCTATGCTTTATAAGACAATCCACCAAAACTCACAGATATTTAAGTTTTGATATGAAACACATTTTTATTTAAAGACCTTTGTTGGATGAAGCATCACATTTGATGCAGTGGTTTGAGCATCTCTTGGCTCTTGGCATTACTGTAAGTCAGGAATATTCTTATTCTGTGTGTGTGTGTGTGTGTGTGTATAATGAAACATGAATAAGCTACTAGAACTTTATAAAACAGTTCAGAAGACACATTAATTTGCCAAACAAGTGCAATTTAACTTCTTGTTTCATTCTTTTTGGATATTCCATGCCTTGGTATTGACTCATTTTTATGGACTTAATCGTCTCTTCTGTGGAAGAAGTGCAGGTTCTTGGAAGCGTATTCTATTGATAACTAATCAATCAGCCCTTAAGATACTCAGAAATGTTTTTATGCTGGAGATTCTGTCTAGTAGAGACTGGTGCTAGCTTCCAATCAATGTAGTCACTATGGTGAAGAAACAAACAAATGACACTTAATGAAAACTATTTTCACAGTATAATTAAGAAAGTATTAAATGGGACCTGTGTATGTCCAACATTTCTGAATGTCCTAGAAGGGTGTCTGATTAGGTAACAGTGGAACCTCTCTAAAGAACCTCTCTTCAGTGACTCCTTCACTATGCAAGGTCTCGATCACATCTTTTCAGAACAGTGTCATCACTTTGTACATATCTGATTTTGTGGATTGCAAATACCAAGACATAAGCAATAAAGTCTGCAGTGACGAAAAAGACACTATACAGTGGTTGCCTCTTGCTGTCCGTACACTTTCGCATGGATCCTTAAACAGAGATAATTTTGAGATGCAAAATAATTAAAGCGTGTATATATATATATCGATGTATTTATAATAACAAATTGAAAAGGGGGTGCTTGTAGGACATGCACAGAATTATCCCCTGAATCTGCAGCTGAGGACTGTCATCCCCTGTTTGGGGTCCTGGAAGGTCCCCTAGAAAAGCTCAGGGAGGAAGCTGTGTGCTGCACAACCAGACATTAGTCTTTGTCTCTGAATGCTTTTCTGTTGTGAAACTGAAAAATATATATTGCATTTTACTGAGAGTAGTTTTTATTATCTAAACTACCCTCATTGTTATAAAGAGGGAAGTCAATATATTAGAAACTCCTCTGTGAAATACAATACAGTTCAACAGCAACACAAACTACAGCCATTGTATGATCATACAATGGAATCAACATGTCTCTAAAACGGTTTCAACAAAATCTGACCATTATAACCTTGATGAAGGGAGGATTTATTGCAGGACTACTGTATAAGACTGCTTTCGTTTTAGATGCGTGTACCTAATAAACTGGCAATACAGTGTACATACTACAGATACTTCTGTATATCTCACCATATCAGGCTTAAAGCCCCCCTCCACTAAAAAATGTGTTTGCTTATTGTTGTTTTACTTTGACATTTGAGCTTCAGAGTGCAGAATGATGTTCGTGCAGAGTTTGACACAAGATGACTGTTTTCACATTCATTTGCTGAAGGGGGGAAATGTTTCTCTCTTCTCACCTTAAATCTTGAGTTTAAGACATTTAGGTACAAGATGATTCTGTAACATTACAACTACTTTGGAAGCCAATCACAGTCCAGTATAATGTGAAAACCTGAAGCCTCCAGGTCACAAACACTGAGAATGGGACTTTTCAGTAAGGTAGAACAAATCCTGTCTCTGCTGCTGCAGTTAAACTTTTGAAAAGAAAAATATTTTCAAATTCATCATTCCTGGATTTTTCAATGAGGGAGACGGAGTAGATGTAATTTTAAGAATTTTCACCAGGTTCATTTCACTTTTATATATAAACCTATCGGGCACAAATTATTATTCAAACCAAAGTATTTTTATGTCTTAGAACAAAACTGGAGGGAATTTTTAAAGACATTGCTCAAGTCTAGTTTCCATTAATTTGGTCCAACTTTATTATTTATTATTTCCTCGTGACTGAAAGTTTGCATTGCGTGTGCGGAAACTTAGCAGTGTTGACTTGGAAGAGGTTGATTCAGTTGGCCTTTCAGCACACAGAGGCTCCCACGATATCCGGAGTTGATTAAAAATTGTCGATGGGGGCGGCTTTAGGAATGAGTTGTTAAATCCAAGAATAATGTTTTGACACATATTCCTGTTCTGTTCTTGACAAATAAAAGCTTCCAAATGTTACTTAATTTGGAGTGTAAACACAACACAATGTAAACAATACTTTTCTGACTTATGAATGGACACTTCAACACAGCCATGAAGAAATGGGATTTTAAAACCTCACGAATCTTAAACTTTAGACGGTTCTTTGTGTGAAAGCCTCATTGATGTTGATTACACATTGTGGAAGACTCAAGAAACCACTCTGCTGCAGTGCCTTTAAATTTTCAACCCTTGAGGTCAAACCTCAGCATAAACTTGCTAAATGTGCATGACAGTGTTCCTGTGCTGTTGGTGGCCAGATATACATGGAGGGGAAAAAGCATTTCAACGCTGCAGCTGTAAGTGATGCAGACATTTCACAATGAGCTCTATGATTCTGGGTTATTCAGTGAGCTTAGAACAATAACCACAGTTATACAAAAGTACAGTAACAGTCTACTAAGCCAACGTACTCAAACACCAAAAAGTGCTGTCACCAATACAAGCCTTTTGTTTACAAATGCAAGCTGTTTTTCAAACACAAAAAAGTCAGGGGCCTGGCTTCTTTCACCATGCAACAGTTGTTTTTTTTCACAGATGATTCAACCTAAGTGTGTGAAGATAATGAAAGAGATGTGGAATGAGGATCCTTTTCCAAAGCAGGCCTGTCAGCCCCCGCCTAATAACATCTAGCTTTGATTCCTCAGTGGCCACAGAATAGCTACATTCCTCGGATTTGCTCGAACGTTCAGAGAGAAACACAACAATGGTTTCACCCACAACCTCTACACCACAATGGAAGGCAAACACGCTCTTTCCCCTCAACCTCAAAGACCAAACACGCATACAGAGGGTCGCTGCGACGCTGCGTAAATACAACACTGCGAGTCGACTACAGTGTGAGAGATAATGTCAGCTTTGTTGTGTAAACTTTGAACTGTGTACTCTTGTTTTTGTCCTTCCGCCCTGTGCTGATATTTGAAAGGAAATGTCAGCACAAAGCAACTCCCTGATCTAGACCTCTGTCAAAAGTAACACCAACCTCCAAAACAAAACTGTATACAACTCATAAATGTACCAATGAGCGTCTGCATGTAGCCAGGCTGCATTAGATGTGAAACCATTTTTACATGTTATGGCACAACACTACTTTGTCACAACAATTTAAACTATTTTTTTATAAAGTATACCTGGTTTAAGAGCTTAAAGATGACAGACATTAACCATTTACCATGCTGATGATGCTTGTAACGCTTCATTACTTAACATACAGTACATATTTTGGCTTTCAAACATCGCAGATCATAGATATTGTTTCTTATAAACAGCACTAAACTTCAAAGAACAGAACAATCGTCACGAATGGGGATTTCACAGATTTTGGCTATACTTTGAAAATCGCCGTCAGCAAATGGAAATGGAATGGAAAAACCCGTCTGATATGAAATCAACAGCTGACTGGAGGTTGGATATGCCGAGGTCTCCTCTGGCAGAGTGACTACAGTATCTGTACAGGTGTTATTTTTTCACACACAAAGAGTGAGAGACAATGATAAATGGCATCCATCGTTTGAAAGCAGGCACCCGCTGTCAAGATGCTCTGACGTTGCCTATACATGAACATTATACAGTCCGTTATTAGGGTTTAAATTAGTGGATGAACTGGTGGGCAGCACCAGCCAATACTGGAATAAAAGAGTGCCTGATGGGTGAGGATGTTCCTCCTCCCTCCTCCTGTCCATCACCAGAAAGTCCCTGCTGTCTAATCTGATCAGTCCCTCTTCTTTTCCTGCTCCTCGACAACCTCGTCCACCTGAGGCCCAGGGAAGGCGTGGTGGTACAGGTGCCTGTGATTGGCCGCTACATTATACAGCTTGTAGAGAGCCTGTGGAGCAGAGGTGAGAGAGGTGGTTACAGGCAGAGAACTGAACTTCTTAAGATGATCGCTGATCACAGTTGAGCAATTTTGGGGGCAATGTGCACGGGTAATGAAAGTAGTCAACAAAGTGTCTAATAAAAGTACAAAAACCTCCAAATGTGAGAATCTAAGTGAATAATGAAACAAAGGTTAATATAATGTATTGCTCCATTTAGATGTTTTCATGCTATCTAGTGTTGAACACTAAAAAGTGGAAAAGAAAGACACTGTCTGTTAGAGAGCTCAAACTAATCTGGAAAGAAAAAAAGAACAGCCTAAAATCTGAGATCACCTATCACCTTCTGCTGTCCAGGCCTTTCTGCTGAGGAAAAACAGTGAACAGCAGGCTGAGTTTCAGCATCGCGGGGAGGTACGTGACTGTGTCATTATCAGTAAATCATCCATTTTCCTATTATTATGAAAGTCCCAAAATATTCTCTTACTATCACAGCCTTTGTAACTATTCCCACTCGTATTGCTTCACTTACCTCATTTGTGCTCCCCTGCAGAGCCATTAAAAAGAAAAAGAAAATATAGTGTGAGCACATACATGCATATATATAAATAAAGCATCTTCAATACCAGTTCATTATTGCTGTAACACTGATTTAAAGAAGATTGCTGCCCTCTAGTGGTTAAAAGAGACTGTATCACCTAGATGTGTGCTTGAGTGTACAGTATTTGTCTTTACTGTCCATATTGCACCCTAGTTGATTTTTTGTTGATTAA